CTAAGAGACTCGCTTCTCCCTGGAGGTCCGATAGCCACGCCGCACAGAACACACTGGTCCATGTTTGAGGGTGGATCAGCAGGGTGATGACTGGCTCCATCTATCAGCTGAAAGAGGACAGAAGAACCGGGACCGTCAGAAAGTTCAAACCATAAATTGACCTCAGTCTCCTAATGCGTCCTCCAGAACCTCCTCAGAACTTCTCCTTCACTTTTGACATCACAAGTTTAGAGGAAGAACGAAGAGGAAACTCGTGTGTTCTGACTCTGCTGCCCATCAGACCTCTGAGTGACGCCGAGGCATCGCCCACTGACTGACTCGGTGACGCCGAGGCATCGCCCACTGATGGACTCTGTGACGCCGAGGCATCGCCCGCTGACTGACTCGGTGACGCCGAGGCATCGCCCGCTGACTGACTCGGTGACGCCGAGGCATCGCCCACTGACTGACTCGGTGACGCCGAGGCATCGCCCGCTGACGGACTCGGTGACGCCGAGGCATCGCCCGCTGACGGACTCGGTGACGCCGAGGCATCGCCCGCTGACTGACTCGGTGACGCCGAGGCATCGCCCACTGACTGACTCGGTGACGCCGAGGCATCGCCCGCTGACGGACTCGGTGACGCCGAGGCATCGCCCACTGACGGACTCGGTGACGCAGAGACATCGCCCGCTGACTGACTCGGTGACGCAGAGGCATCGCCCGCTGACTGACTCGGTGACGCCGAGGCATCGCCCACTGATGGACTCGGTGACGCCGAGGCATCGCCCGCTGACGGACTCTGTGACGCCGAGGCATCGCCCGCTGACGGACTCTGTGACGCCGAGGCATCGCCCGCTGACTGACTCGGTGACGCTGAGGCATCGCCCGCTGACGGACTCGGTGTCGCCGAGGCATCGCCCGCTGACGGACTCTGTGACGCCGAGGCATCGCCCGCTGACGGACTCGGTGATGCCGAGGCATCGCCCGCTGACGGACTCGGTGATGCCGAGGCATCGCCCGCTGACGGACTCGGTGACGCCGAGGCATCGCCCGCTGACTGACTCGGTGACGCTGAGGCATCGCCCGCTGACTGACTCGGTGACGCTGAGGCATCGCCCGCTGACGGACTCGGTGACGCCGAGGCATCGCCCGCTGACGGACTCTGTGACGCCGAGGCATCGCCCGCTGACGGACTCTGTGACGCCGAGGCATCGCCCGCTGACGGACTCTGTGACGCCGAGGCATCGCCCGCTGACGGACTCGGTGACGCCGAGGCATCGCCCACTGACTGACTCGGTGACGCCGAGGCATCGCCCACTGATGGACTCGGTGACGCCGAGGCATCGCCCGCTGACTGACTCGGTGACACCGAGGCATCGCCCACTGATGGACTCTGTGACGCCGAGGCATCGCCCGCTGACTGACTCGGTGACGCCGAGGCATCGCCCGCTGACTGACTCGGTGACGCCGAGGCATCGCCCACTGACTGACTCGGTGACGCCGAGGCATCGCCCACTGACTGACTCGGTGACGCAGAGACATCGCCCGCTGACGGACTCGGTGACGCCGAGGCATCGCCCGCTGACTGACTCGGTGACGCCGAGGCATCGCCCACTGACTGACTCGGTGACGCCGAGGCATCGCCCGCTGACGGACTCGGTGACGCCGAGGCATCGCCCACTGACGGACTCGGTGACGCAGAGACATCGCCCGCTGACTGACTCGGTGACGCAGAGGCATCGCCCGCTGACTGACTCGGTGACGCCGAGGCATCGCCCACTGATGGACTCGGTGACGCCGAGGCATCGCCCGCTGACGGACTCTGTGACGCCGAGGCATCGCCCGCTGACGGACTCTGTGACGCTGAGGCATCGCCCGCTGACTGACTCGGTGACGCTGAGGCATCGCCCGCTGACGGACTCGGTGACGCCGAGGCATCGCCCGCTGACGGACTCTGTGACGCCGAGGCATCGCCCGCTGACGGACTCTGTGACGCCGAGGCATCGCCCGCTGACGGACTCGGTGACGCCGAGGCATCGCCCGCTGACGGACTCGGTGACGTTCACCTGCATGTGGAGCTGGAGGTGTGGCTGCTCGTCTGCTGGTATAGAAATGCAGGTCTGGACTGGATGACCCCTTTACTCTGGTCTGAATGTGGTTCAGATGCTAGATGAACTTTGACCTGGTAAACGGTCGTGTGAGAACTTGGTCACCTTGTCTGTGCCGAGTATCCCTCTAGTCAGAACCCGACCTTGGGACTACTTTCTCTCACCAAACCAGATGGAAACTCACAGAAACGTTATGGAGAGTAAAGGTTGGTTTATGCTTGACGCGTCCGCACGGCTCCGCGCGGAAAAGTTGCGTCATTTTAACAACCACGCCCCTCCACCGCGTCTCTGCATGGCTCAAGATTTCTGCAACGCGCACCTCGGAAAATTTCTAACCACGCGGACGGACGGACGCAGAAAAACATGGCGGACCGGCAAGAACTAGTATGGCAGAGGTTGGTAAATACAGACATTTGTATGATTCAGCTCTCAGAGATCACCGTGATCAACATGTTGTTAATAATTCTTGGAGAGAAATAGCTCGCACTGTCGGAAAAGACGAGGACGCTGTTAAAAATGCTGGAATGCCATGTTGTAAACAGTAATTTCTACTTCTACTATGGTGTAATGTTGGATGCATGCCGTAGAGCTCCATGCTGCCCCCTACAGTTTGGGAGAATATTGGCTCACCGCAGAGACGAGCCGCATGAACCATAAACGCTGCGAGTTGTGAAGCGCGTTCCATCCGCGAGCCGCATCACCGCGCGGAAAGTAAACGCGTCAAGCATAAACCAAGCTTAAAGAGCCTTACACAGTCTAGATCTTCTCCATCCAGCATGTCTTCACCCAGCTGCTGGTCTTCTGGTCCGTCTGATACTGGTGCCGGCTGAAGAGCAGATACACTGAGAACAGAAGGCCACCTTTTCATCTCCGCATCAGAAGGTTCTGGTACCATCAGCTCTTCTTCGTTAGGGTAAAACAGATCCATTGGTTCAACTCCATCACCAACTAGATCCTCCACAGAACTTGGACCAGGGTCTGAGTAAAACCAGTCCATGTTTGTGGGCACACCGGCTGAATCAGAACACAATGTTCCCACCTGACTATTCTGGTTAAAACTGGTTGGATCCAGAACCTCGTGTTGCAGGTTGACTGGATCTAGAATGTTCCTCTGGGAGTTTTGTGTCTCAGGTTCAGAGAAGCTGCTGGTCACTTTGTCCTGGTCTTCATCAGGATCTACACGCTGGTTTAGTGTGTCCAGAGAAGGACCTCTAGCTGTGATGGCCCTTTCTTCCTGAGGATGTTCTCCAGCAGAACGTTCCTTCTGGAAGTCTTCACCTACTTCGTCTGAGCACGCCCCAAACCTGCCATCATCTAAATGCTGATTTTCAGTGTAGACCATCGACTCGAGATGCCCAGCAGGCACTTCGTTCCTTCCATGGTTCATTTCTTCTGCACCGTGAGGACTCTGGACATCTGGAATACATTTCTGGGTAAGACCTTCATGTTCTTCTTGATCCGTCCCTCCTGGATCAGGCTCTGGCTCTTGGTTGTCCTCCTCTGGCTCACTGGTGATGGAGATCAGAGGAATGTTCAGACTTGTTTTTGACGGCTTCTCTTTCTTGGTTGAGTACGAGTCATTTAAAGTCTCCGAGCGGTTTTCTTCACAATAAGTGGAGTTCCTTAAAAGGTCTTCATACTGTTCTCCTACAGCCACATCAGTCCTTGCATCCACAGCTTCTGACCAACTTCTCGCTTCCTTTCCTTCATCTTCTGGAGGAGAATCTGGTTCCCGACCCTCAGAGGTCGGGGAAGGGCGTTCCTGCCCTGGACTCTCACCTAAGACGCTTATTTGTCCATCCTCCTCATTCTCATCTTTTTCCTGTTTCTTCAGAGGACTTCCTCCAAAGCAGTTTCCTTCATGAGATGGAGGTTCAGGGGACCTTGGGTTGAACCAGATCACAGGATCTGCTGTGAGACTTTCAGGACCAGAGCTGCTCAGCAGCGACTCAGCAGTGATGTCCTGGTCTTTTTGAGACGAAGCTCCCTCCATTTGCTGAGTAAAGGACTCTTTCTGGTCAGACGTCAGGTCTGTCCCCAGGTCCTGGTAAGACCTCTCCAGGTTTCCCTGGTTCTCCAGCTCCTCCTCCTGGGTCTGCACATGGATTCGTTCCTGGTTGCTGCTTATTGAGCTCATACCTTCATCCATGAAAGACTCCGTCATGGACTGCCCGTCAGGAGCCCTGTCCTCGATGGACGAGATGAACCCTTCATCCACCGGAGTCACCTCCACAGGTGTTGCCCGGTAGACCTCCCAGGCCATCCCACTGTCCCAGAGAGAGCCGTCACTATAACTGTCAGAAAAGCTCTCAGGCATCAGCTCACTCTCCACCCAGGAGTCTGGAGAGTTGATGGCAGAGTCACCAACCACAGACTTCGGTACTGATGAAGGTGAGTGAGTGAAGTTCTGCTGAACAGAATCACGGGCCGAGTCTTCTGGCACCACAATGGTCTGATCTTTGAGGTTTGCACTGTTGGAGATGTCTCCCATGTGGGCGGAGTCAGTTAAGAAGTCTTCACTGGACCAGGAGCGTGCTGCAGCCACTTTGAGACGTGGCAACAGGACATCTCTGTCCTCGGACACAGAGGAGATCAGGACTTTGGGTGGATGTTGGTTGGAGTTGCTCTGGAACATCTTGGAGCGCTGCCTCACTGTGCTGCTTTCAGAATCGCTCCTCATGTGGTCCAAGTGCCCATCACGGAAGTTGAGTCTGCCCATGGAGACGCTGCGTTCCATCAGCTGGCTCTGTTCTGGAGTCTGCCAGAGGAACAGATGGGTGAGCAGGAAGCTGTCAGGTCTAGCGTCGGACCGAGATGTTGAAATCTTACCTCCTGCTCTCCAGGGAAGTGCTCCAGGAACTGAGAAACATACATGATGATCGACTGCTCATCAGGCGTGTTGATGGTTACATCTACACACAGAAGAAAGGATTCAAGTTGAACTTCACAAAAATGTTTCCTATTGAAACTGGAGATTTATTTTGAAAGGGGACCAGTCACTTCCTCTTCCTCTGATTCTGTCCTACCTGTCCTGGTCTAAGCTGACCAACACACCTCCACACGTGACCGGTGTGCTGCTCTCATTCTGGCTGGAGATCACAAACTAATGTTCAAACATGCTTTTAAATGATTGCGTCACGAACATTTTCCTGTTCAAGCTTTGTTTGGTTTTTCCTGTCGGGTCAACTCATCTTCCTGCATCTCCTCTCAATCCTCCAGAAACCTGCTGCCTGCTTCCTCCTTCACCGCCTCAGGAGCTACTTTAGATCTGAGCACATGAGAGGGATCTACGACTGCACGGCCGCTCCAGTGAGGTGGTCACTGGAGCGCAGGTGATGACCTCCACGGCAGCAGGGCATGTCAGGACCAAATAAAGTCAGGAAGCACCAGAGAACATGAGCAGACATGAACAATGGAAAGGAAGACCAGGACACGCTAGAGGGTCCGAGAGGGAAGTCTGGGCTTCCCTACTTCGGCTCTGCCCCTGCGACCCGACCCGGACTGTGTGTATCTTTATGGAGGCGCTACTTTCGAAATGTTACTGCGGCCGTGCGCAAGATGCAGCAGCAAGTGCATGAACAATCAGCGCTCTGCTGCTTTCCGTCCTCTCTGCTGAAACGAATCCCCGCTACGCTGAGAGTCCATGTAATGAAAGTAATATGGGTAGGAACGGGCTCGTTCCTCGGGCTCCCCCAGGGTGTGCCACTTTAGGACTTCTAGGGGAGCCTGTCACGCTTTGAGGGGAGCCGAGCTCCCCCTAGCTCCCTCCAAGTTCAAACCCTGGTGTCTACAGTCCAGAGGAGGAGGGATCCAGACTAGAGACTAGGAGACGGAGCCGAGCCTCATGACGGAACAACAACCCCGTCCAGATGCCTGCAAGAGTTCAGCAAAACATTTCCGAGCTGAAGGGAAGAAGCAGATGAGACGTGACGCCAAAACCCGGACATGGTCTCACACCTGGACATGGTCATACACCTGGACATGGTCTCACACCTGGACATGGTCTCACACCTGGACATGGTCATACACCTGGACATGGTCATACACCTGGACATGGTCTCACACCTGGACATGGTCATACACCCGGACATGGTCATACACCCGGACATGGTCTCACACCTGGACATGGTCTCACACCTGGACATGGTCTCACACCTGGACATGGTCTCACACCTGGACATGGTCTCACACCTGGACATGGTCTCACACCTGGACATGGTCATACACCCGGACATGGTCATACACCCGGACATGGTCTCACACCTGGACATGGTCATACACCTGGACATGGTCATACACCCGGACATGGTCTCACACCTGGACATGGTCTCACACCTGGACATGGTCATACACCTGGACATGGTCATACACCCGGACATGGTCTCACACCTGGACATGGTCTCACACCCGGACATGGTCTCACACCCGGACATGGTCTCACACCCGGACATGGTCATACACCCGGACATGGTCTCACACCCGGACATGGTCTCACACCCGGACATGGTCATACACCCGGACATGGTCATACACCCGGACATGGTCTCACACCCGGACATGGTCATACACCTGGACATGGTCATACACCTGGACATGGTCATACACCCGGACATGGTCTCACACCCGGACATGGTCTCACACCCGGACATGGTCTCACACCCGGACATGGTCTCACACCTGGACATGGTCTCACACCCGGACATGGTCTCACACCCGGACATGGTCATACACCCGGACATGGTCTCACACAATGGACATGGTCTGACACCCGGACATGGTCTGACACCCGGACATGGTCTCACACCCGGACATGGTCTCACACCCGGACATGGTCTCACACCCGGACATGGTCTCACACCCGGACATGGTCTCACACAATGGACATGGTCTCACACCCGGACATGGTCTCACACCCGGACATGGTCTCACACCCGGACATGGTCTCACACCCGGACATGGTCATACACCCGGACATGGTCTCACACAATGGACATGGTCTGACACCTGGACATGGTCTCACACCCGGACATGGTCTCACACAATGGACATGGTCTCACACCCGGACATGGTCTCACACCCGGACATGGTCTCACACCCGGACATGGTCATACACCCGGACATGGTCATACACCCGGACATGGTCATACACCTGGACATGGTCATACACCTGGACATGGTCTCACACCCGGACATGGTCTCACACCCGGACATGGTCTCACACCCGGACATGGTCTCACACCTGGACATGGTCATACACCCGGACATGGTCATACACCCGGACATGGTCATACACCTGGACATGGTCATACACCTGGACATGGTCTCACACCCGGACATGGTCTCACACCCGGACATGGTCTCACACCCGGACATGGTCTCACACCCGGACATGGTCTCACACCCGGACATGGTCTCACACCTGGACATGGTCATACACCCGGACATGGTCTCACACCCGGACATGGTCTCACACCTGGACATGGTCTCACACCTGGACATGGTCATACACCTGGACATGGTCTCACACCTGGACATGGTCTCACACCCGGACATGGTCTCACACCCGGACATGGTCTCACACCTGGACATGGTCATACACCCGGACATGGTCTCACACCCGGACATGGTCTCACACCTGGACATGGTCTCACACCCGGACATGGTCTCACACCTGGACATGGTCTCACACCTGGACATGGTCTCACACCCGGACATGGTCATACACCCGGACATGGTCTCACACCCGGACATGGTCTCACACCCGGACATGGTCTCACACCTGGACATGGTCATACACCCGGACATGGTCTCACACCCGGACATGGTCTCACACCTGGACATGGTCATACACCGGGACATGGTCATACACCCGGACATGGTCTCACACCCGGACATGGTCATACACCCGGACATGGTCTCACACCCGGACATGGTCTCACACCCGGACATGGTCTCACACCCGGACATGGTCTCACACCCGGACATGGTCATACACACGGACATGGTCTCACACCCGGACATGGTCTCACACCCGGACATGGTCTCACACCCGGACATGGTCTCACACCCGGATATGGTCTCACACCTGGACATGGTCTCACACCCGGACATGGTCATACACCCGGACATGGTCTCACACCCGGACATGGTCTCACACCCGGACATGGTCTCACACCCGGACATGGTCATACACCCGGACATGGTCTCACACCTGGACATGGTCTCACACCCGGACATGGTCTCACACCTGGACATGGTCTCACACCTGGACATGGTCTCACACCCGGACATGGTCATACACCCGGACATGGTCTCACACCTGGACATGGTCTCACACCCGGACATGGTCTCACACCCGGACATGGTCTCACACCCGGACATGGTCTCACACCTGGACATGGTCTCACACCTGGACATGGTCTCACACCCGGACATGGTCATACACCCGGACATGGTCATACACCCGGACATGGTCTCACACCCGGACATGGTCTCACACCTGGACATGGTCTCACACCTGGACATGGTCTCACACCCGGACATGGTCTCACACCCGGACATGGTCTCACACCCGGACATGGTCTCACACCCGGACATGGTCTCACACCCGGACATGGTCTCACACCCGGACATGGTCTCACACCTGGACATGGTCTCACACCCGGACATGGTCTCACACCCGGACATGGTCTCACACCCGGACATGGTCTCACACCCGGACATGGTCTCACACCCGGACATGGTCTCACACCTGGACATGGTCTCACACCTGGACAAGATGTTCTTACTTGACCTGGAATGTAACTGGATCAGCTGTCTTCAGCTCCTGATGGAACCAGGTCTCCTGGCCCAGAGTCAAACTGGTCCTGGTTTTTGAACAGAAGCTCCAAACTCCGATTGGTTAAAGTTTACGGTTAGTGAGAAACAGGTCCATTTACCTCCTGGTTACCACCATGACCCTAACCCTGTCAGATGTCAAGAGAATCCCAGAGAGGAGCTTTCTGATGAAGACATGTCTACGGTGTCTGTTGGATGCACCGACCTGCTACAATCTCCTCATTCAGACGTTTTAATTATCGTTATCTTTTGAAACTGGTCAAATGGGTCGGATGCAGCTGAGTAGTCTTCTACAAAACCAAACCAACTCAGACTGGTTTGGATTCAAACTCATCAGAATGTCAGGACTGAGTCTTGGTGCAGGCACCCCACAGCCCTGTGCGTGCTGAGGAGGACATGCAGATACACGGATCGGTACCTTCAGGCTCCAGCAGCCGCGGTATTCCAAGGCTGTAGTGAGCTATCCTAAAGGCGTCCTCCAGGTTCTCTCTGGGACTCCTCAGCAAGGACTTCCTCAAGTCCACCAGACTGGAGTCAATGGATTTAATGACAGCCAGGAAGGCCAGACCACTGGTCCAGCTCTTCCCAAAGTCCTGCACCGCCACTCCATACCTGCAACAGTGTCAGTGTCAGGGTCCTGCTCATCCTTTGGGTTTCACATTTTAAAGTTTACGTCTGACTCACTTTCGAGTTCTCCTCTGAACCCAATGCAGCAGCTTCTTGATGGCCTTGCCGTTGTCCCTCATGGTGCTAGCCACAGACGGCTTCTCCTCCGACGGCACGCTGGAATCGGAGCTGGTGGGAATGGAAGACAGGCTGGAGGAGGAGGGGAACTGGCTCCGGATGTTCCCTGTCAGCTCCTTAATCTAGATTTGGAGGGCAGGTTGAATAGGTGGGAGCAGGAGACCAGATGAGACAAGAGGAACAAGGAGAGCACCTGGAAGAAGAGGATGATGTTCCAGAGGAGTCCCAGGATGATGGAGGAGTTTCCATCAGCAATGTCAGCTGCATCAATGCTGACCAGCTTCACCTGAAACAAACAAACACACGTGTGCAGGAACATGCTTGGTAAC